TCTGGTTAACTGTCCACTTACTTGCTTACCGCTTTTACTAAAATGTAAATTTTGCCTTATTCAAAGTCATATCCCTAGCACTTAACCAGTGCTTGCAACATAATAAGCACTCAATAAAAAGTATAAAATTATATGAATCAATGAAAAAAATAAGTGATGTGTATAAAGTTTTTTAAATTCTATTATTTCATTTAAATGTTAAAAAGGTAATAAAGAGTAACAAGAAATAACACTTAAAACGTTTTTCTTGATACATTTTAAAAGGTGTGAATAAGCAAAATAAGAGCAGGAAAGAAGAAAAAGAATGAGTTCTATCTAGGATATCCACAGACTACAGAAATAAAATAATTATGAATTATAGGAGCTAAATGGTTTAAAATTTCCAACATAAATAGTAAATTTTGCCCACAATTTAGAAGATCGGGAAATAAGAAATAAAACTCTTATTATTCACAAATGACATGATAGACTGTATACAGAATTGCAAAATGCAAAAATATCTACAAATTCTTTCAAAAGAATCAAAACTATCAAAACTATTAAGTGAATTTAGCAGGATTCCTGAACAAAAGGGCAATATACAAATATGAACTGCATTTCTGTATACCAGCCACAAAATTTAACAAACGCAATTTCTAATATACCATCAGAAAACCCCCATCAAATACATAGTAAAAAATCTATCAAAAGACATACATACAAGACTTCTACAGTAAAAACAACAAAACACAGCTGAGAAAAATTAAAGATGACTTATATAAATGGAAAGTTATACCATGTTTATGGATTGAAAGGATCCATACTGTTAAGCAGTAGTTCTTCCTAAATTGGTCCATAGATCCAATATAATCCCAATCAAAAATCCAAGAAGATTTTTTGGTAGAAACAGGCAAGCTGATTCTAAAACTGAGATAGGAATGCAAAAGACCTAGAATGGCAAGGCAAAGTTGGAAGTATCGAGATTTACCATAAAGCTACAATAATCAAAACAGTGTAATCTTAGAGTGATAACAGTCAACTGGATCAATGGAACAAAACAGAATGCTTAGAAACTAACATATACAGTTTCCAGTTTTGCAAGGAAGGCATTATTGTAATTCAGTGGAGACAGGTTGGTCTTTGCAATACATAATGCTGATGCAAATAGATATCTGGATGGAAAGTAAAACCCTATCTCACACCACAGACAGAAATTTATTTGTAATGGATCACAACAGGTATAAATGAGAAAGGTAAAACAATAAAGCTACTAAAAGAAAACACAGGACAGTATCTTTAAAATCTTGGGGCAGGCAAGATTGTTCAAGAGGACACAAAAAGCAGCAACCATAAAAGAAAAGACTAATATATTAGACTTGACACTACATTAAGTTTAAGAACTTTTATTAACTTAAAAATAAAGAAGGTATTAGAGTAAAAAGACAAGCCATGCCTGAAAAAGACTGCAACTCTAAAAAAATGAATCTCTCTGGGATACATAAAAAAACACAGATACATCAGAAAAACACAAATTATTGCATAAAAAAAATGGTCAACAGACTTGATGTCACTTCTCAAAAGAAGGCATATGAAAATGTGCTCAACATCATGCAACATAGAGAAATGCAAATTAAAACAACGAGATACTGCTATACAACCATCAAAGTGGCAAAAATTAATAAGATAGACAATACTAAGTATAAGCAAAAACGTGGCGCAACTGGATCACTGCTGGTACATTGCTGGTAGAAGCATAAAATGGCACACACACCTTAGAAAACTTTTTGGCAATTTTTCATAAAGTAAAACTTTATGCATGCCCTACAATCCAGCAAATCCATTCCTGGGTATTTAGTCAAGAGAAATAAAAACATATGTCCAAAAGAAAGACCTGTACAAGAATATTTACAGTACCTTTTTCATAACAGCTAAACCTGGAAGCTCATCAAAAGTAGAATGAATAAATAAAAGGTGACTCATTCATATAATGAAACACTGCACAATATTAAAACAGTATGAACTACTATACAACAAAACAAACATAATGATAACTAAAAGAAACCAGACACATAAGATTCCCTTTATGAAATATGTGGTAGTGACTGGAAAGGGTAAGAGAGTTCTCTGGTGCACTGGAAATGTACCCTATCTTGAAATTGTTAGTAGTTACACATGTGTACATAAACAGAAAAATTCATTAAGCTGTACAATTAAGATATGTGCACTTTATTATATGGAAGTTATATCTCAACTTTTTAAAAAAATTTAAATCTTTTACACATAATTAGGCCAAAAGCTATCACCAAACCTAATGTTTTCAGGAATATTTCTTCATATTTGGTTTTAATAAAAAAAACCTCTCAGGGCTAGCCAGTTAGCTCAGGTGGTTAGAGCATGGTGCAGGTAACACCAAGGTCCAGGGTTTGATCTCTGTACTGGCCAGCTGCCAAAAACAAAAGGAAAGAAAGAAAACTCTAGCAAGATACAATAAAAACTGAAGTATAAGAATATACATAGCAGTATCTGACCTAATTTTTATGTTACTCAAAAGTCAGTCCAAAATTTATACATTTGTTATGCTTCTAATACACACAAAAAAATTACTCTATTTCCTTAAAAAACAAGCAGGACATTTGAACATTAGATATTTTCTCACAATAGTTCTGAATTCTATGGGCTTAGACTTGATGTTTATATTATCAAAACACAGATAAAAAAGGAATCATAAAAAGAAAATAGTTTCCTGTTTATATAACAATATTAATACATTATAAAGAGCAACTTTGTGCCAAATCACTTATCTTCATCCATAAAATGCAGAAAGTGAGATTACCTTTAAAGACTTTTGCTTAAGTTCAATTCTCTGATCCTTACATTCAACTAATTAAAAACCTTGATTAACATCCCTAAATGCCTTCCAAAATAGAAACCAAATCTTTTGTCTGGCATTCAAATCCTACACATCAACATATGCATACTTACCCCTTTCAGTCTTTTCTCTCATTGGCCCTATATACCACCCCCATGCACTTTCCTTTCCCCTTGTTTTTGTTCATGTGACTTCCTCCATATAAAATATTCCTCTCCCAAAGTTCTATATTAGCCTATTAAAATCTGTCATCTCTAAAGGTACTCATACATTCACATATTTATTGAATATCTATTCCATATAAGAAACAAAGCTGGACAATAGCCTGAGGACCAAGAAACAAGCCATAGTTCCAACTATAATGTGGATGTATTAAGGGCTGACCTAATACAAGTTAGAATCAAATAATTGGCAGAGGCCAGTTTATACTATCTTGTAAAAACAAAAACAAAAAAATTAAAGCTTAAACCCAACTGAAATCCTCCTTCCTTCATTTTTTTCTTTTTTATTCTCAGTTTTTCTCTCAACGGTTCTGCATCACTTTAAGATTGTTTTACATTGATCACTCATAATACCATTTACATATATGAGGGGTCTTCAAAAAAGTTCATGGAAGGATTTGTATTATCTTTTAATTCAATTTTCCATGAACTTTTTGAAGTACCCTTGCATATCTCTTATTCCCCTTAATACATTTGGAACTTGAAAACAGACTTTTTCCTGTACACTTTTAATGTCCAATAAATTTTCTTAAATACTAAATAAATACTATTTGGTTTTTTTTTTTGTCTTTTTCCGTGTCCGGCAACGGATCGCAACCCTCAGTGTCGCCCCCGTACCGGACCGGGACCGGCAACGGGATCGCAACCCTCGGTGTTGCCCCCGCGCCTCGCTCAGCCAGTGAACGGGAACCGGTCTGTATGTGGGATCCGAACCCTCGGCGGGAGCGCCTCCGCGCTTCCCAAGCGGCGCACTAGCGCAGTGCGCCATTAATACATTTGGAACTTGAAAACAGACTTCTTCCTGTACACTTTTAATGTCTTAATACATTTGGAACTTGAAAACAGACTTTTTCCTGTACACGTTTAATGTCCAATAAATTTTCTTAAATACTAAATAAATACTATTTGGTTTTTTTTTTTGTCTTTTTCCGTGTCCGGCAACGGATCGCAACCCTCAGTGTCGCCCCCGTACCGGACCGGGACCGGCAACGGGATCGCAACCCTCGGTGTTGCCCCCGCGCCTCGCTCAGCCAGTGAACGGGAACCGGTCTGTATGTGGGATCCGAACCCTCGGCGGGAGCGCCTCCGCGCTTCCCAAGCGGCGCACTAGCGCAGTGCGCCACCGGGCCGGCCCCTAAATTAATACTATTTGAATAATATTTTAAAAACTGCTTTCCAAAAGTAAAGATCTCTCATACTGCATCTGATCATAGTTATGGCCAAAGTGATTACAATAAAAAGGATGAAAAGAAGTTGCATCTCATTGGAAATTTCTGTGGAGAACTTCATTAAAAGTTAACCAAGAGTTAGGTTTCTTGAGAAACTGAATTTATTATTTTAATAATTTTTTATAAAGGAAAAAATTTAATTGACTAATTTTCCTTTTAAAAAGTTTCCCTAAATACTTCTGTATTGAAATGAAATGTAAAAATAAGCTCTGATACTTTAACTGTCATATACTTAAAAAAAAAAAAACACAAAACGTAATAACCCTCTACCTACACACACTCAGTTATCCCATGTCCACAAAACAGTACTTACGAATACAAGTATCTGTCGTGTAACTAACGTAGTCTGACCTATGCAACACTTCTGTAATAGTAATGCCATTGAAAGATTAATATCCATGTTTTAGACTTAACCAATTAATAACTGTTTATATCTTGTTATATACAGTTATATTTTAGGAGGATGTATGTGACTGTTCAATTGCATAATTGGATTTACGTAAGCACCACAATCTAGTATGAATTAACTTGTTTGAACATTTTTAAACACTACAATTGAAAAATACCTAGTGGTAAGCTTTTCAAGCAAGCTAAATGCAAATTTAAAACATTAAAAAATTTTAGAAACTTAAATTCATTTTCTTATATAAGACAATTCAAAATCTATCTTATCAACTTTATTTTGAATAAACCATACTGTACCTGGTTACTACCATGGCCAAAAGGAGTACTAGATAAATTAGTGGTTACACTGTGCAAAATAATTTCACCACTAAGAGATCCAGAAGCAATGTAACAATCATTCCAATTGTATGTTACGCAAGTTACTTCATCTTTATGATCCTGAAAGAAAGAAATGAAATTAAGTACCCTGCCCCATAACCTGTAAACAGATCATTTTCATGTTTTTGTAAATTCCAAGTATTATGTATTTGTCAATATTTGCTTTAACATTTTCCTTGAATAACTTTAAAAAATTACTCAAATTAGTAACTACCTGATCAATATCCATCTTCTCAGAAAAGTTTTTCATAACTATAATTATTTTAAGTTATTTTATAATAATTAAAATAAAGTAATAATTAAAAATAAGTAATAATTATTTATTTTTCATAGCCATAATAATAATTTTTCAGGCAGTCTGAAAAAAAGAGGCATTATGGAAAAGTAATTTTCCAACTGTCATTATGTCTACCTTAAAGAATTCACTTCCAGTGACACACAACATTTACTGCAAGTTGACTATTAGGAGAGTCTCTGCCCTTGAGAGTATTACTGTTCAATTTAAAAGACAAAATTAACATTAAAATGGCAAAGTGAACGGTAGGGGTAAAGGAAACAGCTATCACTGTGAACTGAGCTAACAGAGGAAGCTTTACGGAAGACATAAAGCTCGAGTTCCACCTTAAAGAAAGGATAAAAGACAAGTAATGGGAAGGAGGGAAAAACAGACATTGTAAAATGGAAGAGAACGAAAACCAAGGAGCAAGGCCATGTTTGAGAGATAACACAGGTTAAATATCCCTTACCCAAAATACTTAGGCCAGAAGTGTTTCAGAATTCAGATTTTTTTCAGATATTGGAATATTTGCATACACATAATGAGATATCTTAAGAATAGGATCCAATTCTAAACACAAAATTCATTCATATTTCATATATACCTTATACATATAGACTGAAGGTAATTTTATATAATATTTTAAGTAATTTTGTGCATGAACTAAAGCTTTGAGTGAGATCAGTCGCATGAAGTCAGGTACGGAATATTCCACTTATGGCATCATGTCAGCACTTAAAAAGTTTCCAATTTTGAAGCATTCTGGATTTCAGATTTTCGGATTAGGTGTGCTCGACCTGCGGCAGCTGTTTACATTTGCCAAGTACCTGCTAGTGCTGGGAGCTTTATATATTATTATTTAATCCTTAGAAAATGCTGAGATGCAAAGTCATTTTGCCCATTTTATAAATGAGGTACATGAGTCACAGAAAGGTTAAGAAACCTGTGCAAGCTCACATAACTGCTAAGTGACAGAGTCAGGAGATTCAATTCCCATCAAACTTCAAAGCCTTAGTTACTCACTATACCATGCTGCCTCTCAAATCCAAATCGGAATCCACTTTTAGAAAACAGAACTATTAAAAAGAATTCATAAGGACTATACTTTCCAATACCAAATTACAGATATCTAGCAGGAACACAGAAAAGTGAACAAGGTTAGGAAGATAGTTCTTCATAGTCTAGTGCCATATCTTAATATAAACAAACTAACCTTTGCATCTAATAATTAGATTCAGTTAATAGAAAGAATAGTAGCTACAATACTCCACTCATATTACAACTTTTTCAAATGGTTCTTCAAGCATTTTCAAAGGTTTCTTTACATTTTATAGCTTTTCTAAATGAAAAAAAAAAATCGTGATCCTGAGGAAAAATGTTTGATGAGAAGAAAAAAGGAACAGCAGACATTCTGTGTATCATTCCTTTTTGGGAAATTAGGAAAGTTGGGTCCAATACAATTTCTATTACTTTTTAAAAAGGCAAATGTCTTCCTAATTTCAACTGTAGAAAATAAGTCATTCAGTAAACACTGACTAAGCACCTACCAAATGCCAGTTATTGTGTCAAATCTCCAGGGAGAAGACTGTAGAGAAGGGATCCAAAAGTGAAAGATAAGATTTCCCACTACCACAATTAGTCAGTCAAATACTCATTAACTGAATGAATGAGAGAACAAGGAGCTCTAAAAAATTCAAAAATTGAGAAGACAAAAAACTATCTGGAGTGATTGGGAAAACTAAGGATGGAAAAATGAGTGGAATTTTCCATGCAGGGATAGGGTAAGCGAAGCTCCTAAAATGTGTGACATGTGATAAAACTGGCCATGAACTCTAATCTCTTCTCAACTCTGAGACACTCGCTTTTTATAATAGGCATATCCTTCTAAATAGCTTTATTTCAAATATTTTATAATTTGAAAGACAAAACAATGAATTATATCTTGGTTTGCATCTCATCTTTGACATGGAACAAGTGCTTTAACATCTCTGACTCAGTTTCTCCATCTATACAAAAGAATAATATTACCTGTTTTGCAGAGTTGTTGAGATAAGCAGTATAAACATTTGTAAGCACAGTGGCTGGCATATCAAAGAACACAGTAAAAATTAACTATTCCATTATTGGCAACTTTTCAATTACCATTAAGACTTTTGAAAGTTTAGCTAAACCAAAAATAATGAACTTCAAAAGGTAACATTTAAGAGTTAAGACTCTTGAAAGTTTAGTTAAACCTAAAATAATGAAATTCCGAAGTAACATTTAAGAGTTAAGACTCTTGAAAGTTTAGCTAAACCTAGAATAATGAACTTGGAAAGGTAATATTTAAACAGCAATTATAGAATTATATTTCAACTTAGCTATGAGAAAACCATTCTTCTATATACCATTTCCCTAGTAAAGAATTAACTCAATGACAAGAAGACATATAACAAAATGATAATGATGACTGATATTTACTACAAAATAATCTACAGGTGGGAGGATTAGAGCAGGTAAGGACATAAATAAAACAATATTGGCCATGGGCTGATCATTGTTGATGTCAGATGATGAGTACATGTGTGATAGGTTAAATGTTCTTTCCCTGTGTGTGTATGTATCTGTGTATACATATGAATGTTTAAAATTTTCATATTAAAACTTTTTTAAAAGATAAAAAATAAAAATAACTTTAAAGATCAACTTGTAAGCATTATAAAGGCACAATAATGAAAAGTAGAATTCTAAAAAAACCCATCATAACCAGAGACTTTCTTGTTATGAATTATTTTCTGAAACTTCAAAAAGCTAACTATTTAAAGAAACATTAATTATAAATAGTAAATTATTTTAGAAAATATTTATCAAGTTGAAAATACATACACAGAAAAATAAAACAAACAGCAGTGGCCAAATATAGTACAGAACTAAGAAGCCAAATCCCCAACTCTGATTAGTAGATTGAACATTATCATCCCATAACCACTCTCATTTTTCCAAAGTGCCTTAAAAAAAGATCCCTGATGACCACAAACCATACTTCAGAAAAAATGAAGGAAATGGTTCACTCAAACACAAGAACTAAATGGAAAGATAAGGAAAAAGTTTTAGACGCCAATAATATGAATTCATGGTATACATGGAGGAAAACAAAAAGACAAAAACAAGTTTTTGGCTAAACAGCATCTTTATTTTCCCTAACATATCTCATTCAATTCTGAAGCATCTTATTTTTATCATAAGAGCTCTACTACTCTAAACACATTGTAAGATACACACATTTGTAAAGATTAAAAAAAAAAATTGCTTACCTTAAGAGATCGATGAACTTTTTTTGATTTTAAATCCCAAATATTAACAGTATTATTTAGGCCTCCGCTTACTAAATACATAGATGTGGAATTTAAATTGACACATGTCTGCTTTTGCTATTTACAAAAAAGAAAAAGAGAGTTACCTTAATTTAAGAGTCCAGAGCTGACTTTCTGTTTTTTTCTAATATTTAGTAAGCACATAATAAATATTTGTTTATTTAAATGCTATAAACATACTAATTCTTGTTCTGAAGATTCACCTCTCATCATCTTTCACATGGATCCAACAACTTGTAAAGGGATCAGAAAGACTTCAAGGAAATCAAACAGATTCATGCTCTCTTTCACAGAACACTGATGACAGAAGCAGCTCAGGTAACACCAGCAAGTCTTGGTCTCCCACCAAGGCTTACTTGCCTTCCATACCTGCCCTTGATAAAACGTGTTCTTGTATTTCCACAGAATATCTTAAATTAAAATCAATCCCCAGTTCAGAAAATACTAAAGACAGAGAATACTTAAAAGAATTTCTAGTTCAGACCCCTCATTTTATAGATGGAAGAAGCTTTTTAAAGAGGTCAAGATACTTGCCTCAAGTCTCCCAGCAATTTCTCCCCCTAAGGAGCCCAAGCCTCAAACATCATGTCATTAAAACCTGACCTCACATTCTTCCCCAACTCTATAAAGACACCATCTGTCCAATTTCTCAAGATAAAACTCCATAATTACCTTTGATTCCTTGTTCTCCGTCTCCTCCAATCTATCACTTAGTTCTATAAACTTCAACCTAAAATAAATCCCACATGGGCCCCTCTTTATTTATAGCTATTCCTAGCACCAATCTAAACTTTGCCCTGCTACAGCAGCAGACTTCTGTTTTCCCCGTTTCTACTCACTTCCCTATGCTCCATCCTCTGCAAGTAGGGTTGACTTTTAAAAATGTAAATCACATCATGTCTCTCCCCTGTATAAAAATCTTCAGTGGTTTCCGATCATACCTAGAGTAAACTCCAAATCCATTAACCAAGCTTTCAAAGCCCTATTCATCTGGGCCCTGCCTACTTCATCTCTTACCATTTTTTTCCTTATCCATTAATTCTCCAGCCATACTGACCTTCCATTCCTTAAACATACAACCCTAATATTTGCCTCAAGACTTCTACATAGTCTTTCTCATTGCCTGGAAAGCTAAATTCCCTGAACCTTGGCTAGATGGCTTTTTTTCAAGTCAAAAGATATCAACTTAAATGTCACCTCCTCAGGAGACCTCTCTTGGCTATCTAATGTAACTTGCTATCATTAATATCTTATTTTAGTTCTCTGTATAACAACTTATCAATAGTTGAGTATTTTTGTTTACTAATTTATTGCCTGTCTCCCACCAGAATGTCAGTTTCATTAGAGCAAAGACCATATCCACATTCAATAAATATACAGAAGTTATCAAGTTCTTCTCAATGAGTATCTTGAGTGTCACCTACCTGGTGGTGCCATCAGTAGCTATGTTACACAGTATAACAGAATGTTCCATGTCTTTTCCTATTTAACCTACAGATATACTATGAAGTTACATTAATTGTTCTTATCTCCACTTGAATGCCATGGGGGGGGGTTGGGGGGACAGTGGAATGAAGTCCAAAGAGGACATTTTATGACTTAGTTAAAAGTTAAAAGTCAAGCCATGTAGGTTAAGGCAAGTCATCTCACCTTTCTGAACCCACGTTTCTTCATCTGAGAAATGAGAGGTGAAGACTAGATCTATTGTTCTTAAGCGTCCATGCATCTTAAAAACATCCTCTGCTCGAGAAACATTCTTAAAAGAGTGCAGGCGATCCCCGCCCCCACTCCCCAAAGGACTATCCAAGGTTTCTTCTAGCTCTGAAATTTTACCAATAGTATCAACTAACACATAAAAACAGCAGAATGCACATTACATCGATGTTTTGGTATTGTTGCTAAAATTCTCTTGCAGGTAACTTTCTAGAAATTGACTTTAGTCTAAAGCAACTGGTAAGATTCAGAATCCTATCAGTTGTCACTGCAAATCAGAACAGTTTGCTAAGAACTATCAAAATAACCTTTGAAGAAAACAGACAAGGATGGTGTCCATCAAAGATCGGTATATTGGGATTCTAATCATCACAACTACAATTATTCTTAAGGGCTCAGAACAAAACCTATATTTATATCTGGCTTACCCTGTTGATAAAAGATATTTTTTATGTTAATATATTATTAATGTAACTAATGAACTTAATTAATAGAAATTGTGTGGTTATTACAGGAACCCTGTACCCTACCAAGACACAAAGCAATAGGTGCAATTTTTAAAATCTAAAAATAACAGCTGGTCAAATTCCTAGGTTAATAGTCTATCATATCTATTGTAATACCATTAATATCAATCTGTCTACTTGCTATAAAGAGGTAAAATACAAAATCAAAGAAAATAAACACAAACTTAAAAGTTCCACTCTAAAAGCAATTTTAAAATAAGTAGGATCAAATCTTATTTTCCCAACTAAAAAAGGACTAATCTATCAAATAGCATGTAACAGGACTTAGATCCTACAAAGAAGAGGCTACCAACACACTAATATGTTATAAAAAATTACTAATAAAGGCTAACGAACTAATGTTTGCAAAATATTTTTTATAGGTAAATTAGAGGCAAAATTAGACTAAAGAGATTTCACTTTTATTTACCTACATTATGTGATTTCTTCACTGTGGGAAAGAATGCTAAGAATCATAGCAACTAATTTGGAATATTCAAAAAGCCCTTAAAATTGTGTTATACTTGTGCATTTTATCTGTTTTTATACTTAAAAAAAAGAAAGCAAAACTGTTTCGGTGTTGACATTAAATTCAAAAAAAGTTTGCTGACCACTTTTGACAGGATCCAAAGACCTGAAGATGACTAAGATATTCTGCCTGCTCTTGAAGAGTTCAGTCTGTCTTTTATCAGCTAGGGGAGTTCTCTGCCTCAATTCTGTTCAACTCAGTCTGAATAGGCAAAGTGCCTCAAACTCCATTCCCACCCCTCAGCAAATGTTCTCTCTGCTCCAGCCTCCAACATCTGTGGGTTGGAACTGAGGTTCAGGCCAATTCAACTAGCTATCATTAGAGGAAGATTGATAAAAATCCTAAGTCCTCTTTAAATTAGTCGAGCTTATATTCTATTGCCCTGCTGTTTTCTTTCTAATTGGGCTGCCTTACCTATCCCAGGGTGCAAAATTATGACAATTCTTAATGATTTAGGGTCTGCTAATGAAAACTTTGAAACTAAAAAAAGAACAAGCTACCAAGTACTCACTCGTACCTTTTTATTCAGACTTTATTCTATTTAAAAAAGAAATAGCTTTAAAGGAGTGTGTGTGACTGAAAATGAGGAAGCCAGCATTAATCTGAATCACAGTGATTAATTTATAAAACAAAAGAATAAGGAAACAATATGCAGTGAGTGAAAGCTTCATTTCAACGCTGTGGGACTAAGGCTCATGTTGACAAAGCCATCCTGTTCACGGACAGCTTGAGGGAAGCTCAAGCAGGCCTCTCAGTTCTAGGTGGACAGAATCTGAAGCAGAGAGCTACCAACAGATAGAGGTCTTTTGCTGATGGTCCTGATTCCAAGGTCAGTAAAGCAGTGCTATATCATTAGCATTCATATGGTTCGGTCAAGGTAGTAACTTAGGTGGGACACAGTCCTAAGACAGACAGCAACAAGGACCCTCCCACAAAGGGATAATGGAGAAAGCAAGTGCCTAGTTAACAAACTCAAGTTCTCAATTGCTCCCCTAGGATCCAATATTATTTTATCTAAAGATGCTTGAGTAAGCACATATGCCTCACCTTTAAATGTTACTGTATTATTTTGAGCTTAGATTAAAAATGATGCTTTTAAACACCTTTATATTTAGTTGCAAGCACCACAACAAATAAGCAATTGCCACTCAAACAGAACTAAGGTTTTTAAAAGTTAAAAAAAAAAAAAAATCACTTACCCCTTCAGCAAGCTCTAAAAGTGGAACAGGTTTACATTTGCAACTTGAAACAACTATTTTATCGCCACTGGAAGATGCTGTCACTAGAAAGTTATCTAAATGAAGAGTTATGGAGCATCAAACAATCCATGAGCAGCTATAGCCCCAGACTATTACTATAAGAATTGTAATCATAAAAGCAAAAACACTAAGACAAGCAAATGAATACAGCTTATACATTAGCTTTCAAAAATGGCTCAGGTTACTAATTACTACGGCTAATTCTCTTTGGTACTACTGCATGGGAAGAACTATCCCTCCTGACTGTGCTATCACTTGAAAGCTATTTAAGCCATATGAAATACTACTCCATTTTCAAAGAGTAGGCCAGAAGGTCTAATTTTATCTTTCAAGAATGAGAGCATGATAAAAGCAGCATCAGCAAACATCAATCAGCCTTTTCATCTACAAAAACTGTTCAAGATAGTTATTTATTAACCCAGTGCTTGGCACCAGGTTGCTAGGAAGCAAACATTCACACTAGTCTCCTATTTTTCCACTAAAAAAATAAAGCCTGATATTTTCTCAGGACCGGAATTTTTGTGATAGAATGTTTCAATCTTAAATGTATTAAGAATGAACATTACAGTAACTATAACAAATATAAATGAGTGTGGTTAAATAGCAACTATTTACTTATGGAAGAGTTTTATTTTAAATTTAATTTAATTTAAATTCAAATTTAATATTATACTTATCTTATTTTACATAAATTATAAGTGGAACAATTACTAAACACAAAACAATTTAAGCATTTTAAAACTAAAATGATTAAATACAATAATATAGTCAAGAAGAGTCTGATTTTGAGAGTCACAACAAATTAAAATATCAGAAACTTAAATGTATGCTTTTTAGCAAGCAAAATTTATGAGTAAAAGCAACAGACTAGCACACAGAATTCTAACTGCATTACTTCTGGATGGTTTGTATAACATTCAGATATTTTGTGAACAGACCATAGATTGTAATTTTATTATAATACATAATACAAACAAAATAATTTCTACCTAGATATTACACATTGAGAAAAACAAATCATTTCTCTTTCCTTGGCTTCTTCCTCTGTTTACCATTACTTTTCTCCTTAGACTACAGAAAAAGAACTGAAAGAAGACAATATGAACAGGTAATCTAATTACTTTCCTTTTATTTCTCTTGTAGAAATCATGAGAGGCTGAGGAACATCACCTAAAGGACCTAAAAACCAAAAAGAAAAAAGAAAACTAACCTCCCTGGAACCTCTCATAATTCTTGGAATCTATGCTATATGGACCCCAAGTTGCTAAGTCCAGAAACTCTTTGTTCTTCAGTAACTAACCTGCATGGAAGGGATCAAAGCCTCATTAGGAATAAAAGATACAGGAAGGCTTTCGGTGCACATCTATTTATACAAGAAAACTACAGAAATAAGACCAGTTTCCAAAACTCACACAACACCTCACAGTCATCTCGGTTTTGTTGATAAACCATTAAGTAGCATATCAGTAAATATCAACTCCCAGTAAAACTCTTTGGAACAAAAATAAACTGAAAAAATAATAAATCTTAAGAACTGCTACTTTTATATAGTAAGTAACAGGGAAAACTAAGCTTTAAACATAATGAAAATCTAAAAGTGGAGAGCAGCAACTTCATATACTTGTCACTCTCTTTAATTCCCTACCACACATCTGGAGACTTCTTCAAAAATACAATCACTTCACCATGAGTTTGATTTACAGAGCATCAAAGTAATTTATTTTACTACTTTAATACAAAACCAAGGAATAATAAAGAGGTAAATTTGATTCAATAAGAAAATTTGTCATTTTTTGTTATATATTTTCGAGAATAATTAGGTTGGGCATGAAAACTAATATTTTTGTTCCTGAATCAGTCACATTTTAAAGCTTTGATATTTTTCCTTTCATCGGGAAGTAGACTATTAATACTTTGGTACTGATAAAATCAGACAAATGTTAAAAGTTAATACCCTGTTTAAGAAACTGTATGAGTTTTACAAAAGAATAATTTCTAGCATACCAATTATGTAGAACATTTTCATACAAAGAATAAGAGTACTTTGTTTACAGCAGTGATTCTCAACTGGGGGTAATTCTGGCAATTCTGGAGACACTTTTGGTTGACACAACAGGGGACTACTGGCATCAAGTGGGTGGAGGTCAGGAAAGTTTCTAAATGTGCCACAATGCACAGGAATATCCCCACAACAAAGAATTATCTGGCCCAAAATGTCAACAGTGTAAGGTTCAGAAACACTAGTTTACAGGCTTCAGTCCCTCATTTATTTTATCTTCATTTAGAAGTTCACCAAGACAGAAAAAGTGTCAATCAGAAAAAATAAAAAGCATAGGAAAATTCAATCTAGACAATGTTCCTACCTCTGTTTGGGAAATGATGTTATTTTCATCACAGACAGAAAGGAAGAGAAATACAGAGAGTACATCATTAAGATGGGGATGTTGGACAATTTTGTGTCTCCTCCCTATCTTGCTTCTGCCTTCGAGTTCTGTCTTTAATTTACAGATCATATCCAGAAATACACAAGTGTAGATGCAAAAACTCACTCTAAAATCATTCAGAACTTTTCCACCATTAAGGGGAAAGGAGAGGGCATAGAAATATATCCTCCACACTTTCCTAGTATGGACGTGCAAGAGTACTGCACAGCACTACCTTATTCCATTTGGTTCAATAATAAATTGCTGATAACACAGCTAATTCTATGGGTGGGTCTAGTAGCTAACATACACGTTTTAATAGCAGTGTTTTTGAATGAAGTAGATTGCAACTAAAATTTTTAAAAAAATTTTTAAACATGAAATTAACAGAAAATTAAGAGTGCATTTATATGATATACTGTTTTTAAACTACTATTCACTTTATCTATCTTTGGTAGCAATGCAAAATATATTTTTCATTACGGGTCATATGCAAAAATTTCATTGACACTGGTTGTTTAACCTAATAAAAAGTGGTTACTGGAAAAAAAAAGGATACTATTGCTGCTCCAACATATTGAGCTGATTCCATGGGGTGACGTGTGTGGGTTGAATTTATCTACCAATGTCATAGATGAAGCATCCCATATTTTAATATCATCTCCAGATGAAGCAAATCTGAGGTTTTCCTGCATGACTGCACCTACAAATAGTTTAAAACAATACATTAAAAAAGAAAATTAAGGACAGGCAAAAAAAAAAAAAAAAAAAAAAGTTAAAATGAAGCATTTAATCTAAAACTCATCACTTTTTTCCACTCATCCACTTTTGTTCCAAGTAGTACACTCACCACAAAGAAGCTAACGTGACCTTTTTTCTAAAACATAAACCAGATCACATTCTTTTAGCTGGCCTTCCAATGTCTCTCCCTGTCATTCATTACAATGAAATCCAACCTCTTTAGCCTGCCTTACGTGACCCAGCCCCCGAGTAACTCTCCTACCTTTCTTCCCAAAGGGCCACCAGACTAACATATTGGCCTTCTTTCTGTCTCATGCAACAAGTCAAGGTCATTCTTTCCTCAGTGTCTTCTCATTTGTTGTCCCCTCTGCCTGGAATGCTTTCTCCAGATTCCCCATGGTCATCTCCTTTTCATCATTCAGGTCTCAGCTCAAATGTCTCCTCCTCCAAAAAGCCTTCCCTGACCACCCTAGCTAAAGCAGTCCTTGACCAGTTACCCTATATTCCATTACCCAATTTTATTTTTTTCACAGCATTTACTACTAGCTGAAATTCTTACTTGTTCTCATAATAATTCCTGCCTCCCCATGCCAGAGGCTTGAAACATTTCTGGCACATAGTATGTACTCAACAAATAATTGTTAATAAGTAACTTCCTCATCTTTTTGAAAAAAGTATAATAAACTAGCATTCCCACAGGTCAGAGTCCAGTCACCCAGTTTTTCCAAATAACTCTAAAATTAGCAATATGGCCAAAGGAGATGCCACTAAGTTCCTATACCAATACTTGGCCTACAGTGCCCTCTCTCATATTATTTATTCGCAGTATATAGCTCAAACACATATTTCTAACAAGGTGATTTCTAGGCAGACGCCTTAAAGATCAGCATGGATGTAGTAATGAATGACAGGTGAGAAAAAAAATGCTCAAAAATACATGGGAGAAAGGGGAAGGGAGAGGGCATAAAAATATATCCCCCGCACCTTCCTAGTTTGGACAGTGCAAGAGTACTGCACAGCACTAGTGATGTCACATACAGATCCCCAAGTCATCAACAACACATCACCTGTATGTCTAGTGTACTCCATCACAAAGGACAACTTAAAGGCATAATAAATGATAGGAACCTTTCATTCTCAAGAAACAAAGAAAAACTTTTAATGTGTTTATAAAAAGACAAACTTGTTAACTAGAAAATTCACTCAAGTACTCCATTATGCTCCCTCCATCATATAAATGGAACGCGCTACTAAAAGCCATTAAAGTCACCTGTTGAAATGTAGACAGTGTTTGGATTTGGTGCCTCAAACATGTGTAACATGCCCTCTTAGTTCCCCACTCCAGGAACAATGAAGTGCTTGAAGGGCGATCTCTAAGCCCAGTAAACACAACTGCAAGATGTGTCTACCATAATCTTACACCAAGCCTTCTGAGCAGTGAAGTGTAGTGGGCAGACCGCTGAAACAGGACTCAGAAAAACTGGGTTCAAGCTATCTGTCCCAACTTGGGTGCCAGTAACTTTGGCCGGGTCATTTAATATCCGTTTCCTACTCTGAACGTGCAGCGCGGAGAGGGACCATCTGCCCATCTACTTCAGTCTTCTGAGAACCAAGCACATGTAAGGGAGAGGCTTTTATTACATCAGTCCCTCAAGCAGGGTCCCACTGAAAACGAGCTGTCAGGACGCAAGGCGGTAACAGACGGCTGGCCCCAGTTTAGGGATAGCGGCAACGAGAAACAATTCAGCTAGGACACTCGGCTGAAGAAAAAGTTCTCCAACTTTCATTCACCAACAATGCATTTTACTTGCAGGAAAAGCGGACTTTTGGAGCAGAAGCAAACTTTCCGGAGGCACCCCCACCCCACCCAGCCCGGGCCACCTCTCGGCCGGGGCGGAGGCCGTCGCAAGCGGAGCTGCGCGACTCCGGCCCGCAGTTCCCGGGGCACTTCCGCGCGCAACGCGCCGCCGCGCCCCTGCACCGGCAACCTCCCGGACAGCCGGGCCGATTGGGACACGCGGAGCCCAGAGGCCTCCGACCCGCCCCCTGAGGAGGCCCGAGGGCAGCCCACGGACAGGAGAGCGCACGGAAACGGCGGGCGGCGGCCCGCTAACCCCGGGCCCTGCGGAACCTCACCTCTCCGCGGCGGAACAACAGGGGGCCACGACGCGGCCCACTCCGCGCTGGGCTTCCGGCTCCCGCCTGGACTGTTAAACTTCGACGGCCGGAAGTCCCGCCCCGTGTGACGTCACGAGGCGAGGCGCTGCCCGAAGCGGCGGCTCCGGTGGACCCCGAGGACCAGGAGCAGAGGCGCGGGCAGGGGCGGTGCTGGGCCCCCTCACGGGAAGCTATCCCTGCGCCAGGGCAGGAACGGCGGTCGTGGGCGGCTCCGTCGACGCCCTAGCGACGGCGTTTCGGCCACTGGCGGATGCACCTTTGTCGTTCGTGTGTTCGCTGACCACCTACTGTGTGCCAGGCCCGATGCTGGACTCTGGGTGTACGGTGTGCATTTAGCTTTGGAGATGCTGGGTTACAGAGAACTTTCATGGCCCCTGGCCTGGTGGAACTTAACAGTCCAATAACAACATTAATAAATAATAATGCTTAAGTGCAAAGAGAAATTGTGATGGTTGCTGCAAAGAAAAGGCACAAGATGTAAGAAAGCTCATAATAAAGGAAATTAACATGGACGTGGACTCAGGCGAGGATTCCCTGAAGAGGAAGCCAAGGAGAGCGGATTATAATGCATGCAAGTTAGAAACCGGGAAACGCGTTCAAGCTAAGAAGTAACCCAAAGAGTAAGCATCTGAGCTGACTGACTTCAAAACCCATGATTTTTCTTTTGCATCATGCTGCAGGCTCAGGAACATCAAACACCATCTGGTTTGCAATTCTTTTGAAGGAGATGCTTCTTCAGGGTGGAAAGGGAGTCGCTAAGCTGAATTTTCAAATGCCCGTTCTAACAGGGCTTTTTTTTTTTTTTTTTTTTTAGCTCTATTGACAATTTCTGCTGAGAATACTTATAAGTATAGGGCAGTTCTTCTACAAACAGTGTTATTTTTTCATTACAAGTACACATGGAGTGTTTCTGAACTAGGTACATAAGCCCCGGTTATTTGCATCCATATTGCAAATAACTGGAAAATAAGTGCATTTTTTTTTT